GCCCTGTTATCATCTCCTCCCTTCCTTCCCTACTCTACCCTTCCTCTTGCCGCCTGCTCTCTCTCGCCATCCTTACCTACCCTACCCTTCCTCTTGCCGCCTGCCCTCGTCATATTACTCCTGGTTTCATCTCCTCTTGTGGTTTCCGTGTGTTATCCACTAGGAGACGTTCCCCCCCCCCCCCCCCCCCCCCCCCCCCCCCCCCCCCCCCCCCCCCCCCCCCCCCCCCTGCCGCTTTCGCCCCCTGCCGCTTTCGCCCCCTGCCGCTTTCGCCCCGCCGCTTTCCCCCTGCCGCTTTGACTCCGTGTCGAAGCCGTGGCTATGAGTCCGTGAACGTACTTATTCCTCGGGTTTAAAGCAAAGGGGATTACAGTGTTTTTTTTTTGTTTTTTTTTTTTGCAGTAAAAGGCCCTTGCGATATCCCTCTATAGGGGATTACAATGTGAATACTTTTACTAGTATTATTGTGTTATACTCTTACTATTATTATTGTGTTATTACTAGTATTATCTCTCTTAAGGTATGGAAGACATTTGTTGAATGGGTGAATTCTTCAACGTGTAGCTAAACCTGGAGGCTTTCTTTCCTGTAAGAGCTTGTTGAGTGCCTCCCTTCTTGATTAGTCTTTTTCTCTGCTCTCTGCGCCTCCCCTTCTCTCTCGTCTCTTTCCTTTTCTCCCCTTTCGTTACGTCCTCCTTTTCCCACTGTGCGACCGGCCTGCCTACAACTTCCCTCCCGCTCTCTCCTCGCTCGTGGTTCCCGGCTTCCTTCCCCTTGTGTCTTTTGCCTCGCCTCCTCTGCCCTCCTCTCGTCTCCTCTCCTCTCCTAAGTTCTCCTCCGCTCCTCTCCACATCTCGCCCTCTCCTGCTCTTTGCTCCACGCCTTTCCCGTTCTATACCCTCCCATCGAGACCTCTCCCCTTGTCTCCTTATCCTCTCTACCCCTCTCTTTACATCCTCTCGCCCTGCCTCCTCTTCTTCGCTCTACGCCCCTCCCTTTTGTTCCCCCTCCCGGGACCCCTCTCCTCTCCTGCCTCCGGGGTCCCTGCTTTCTTCATCTTGAGTCATTTGTATCGTCTCGTCTCGTCTCTTCTCCTCTCCTCTCCTCTCCTCTCCCCTTTCCATCTTTTCTCGATCTCGTTGCTGCGGATACCCTTATCCTCTCGCCCGTTCTGTACATCCTCTCGCCCGTTCTGTACATCCTCTCGCCTTGTCTCCTCTTCTTCGCTCCACGCCCCTCCCTTTTGTTCCCCCCTCCCCCCCCCTCCCCCC